GACTTGAAGGATCATCTTGGTACGTGCGTCATTAGCCACCCGCGCTCACGTTGCTCTTCCCCAGGCATAATCAGGACCCTTACAGAGACCCAGAAGCCGAGTCTCTTCTGTGGGTTGCAATCTGAATGACCCTCCAACTACTTTTCTATTTGCAGACAACGAGTGGTACTTGACGCATTTCTGGGACAGACATCGTCTCTGTTGTGTCTAACGCGACACTTACAGCAAGATTCAAAGAAGAATCTTGTGAATAACAAAAAATTTTTGGGAACGCTCCTTCGAGCAGTACAGCAAGGGAATCTTCTCTTAGTTGAGGCGATGATCAAGGGACAGCCGTTGTTCGCGCAAAAAACTTTCGCTTGTGAGTCCCTTCGAGGAACTTCCAATCCTGTGCGCTCCTTTAGGCTCTCAATAACAGCGAGATCAATCAGGGGCTCAATTTTAACCATCTTCAATCAACCAGGGCCTTCAATCCCTCCGATCTGACTCTCCGAAAAAGATCAGCAAAATTGATTCTGCCATCGCAAGCAGTTCTCCGTGACAGCCCGGTCTATTCTCCTTTCGTCGGATACCCAAGATCAATACCACGATTTGGGACGGTTGCACCGCTTTCATCGTTTGGGTCGCTTCAGCAGCAACAACCACTGTCTTCCCTCTGGAATGAACCAAACGTCAATCATGGCACGCATCTCACACAAGTCGGGCCAGCCGCTTCTGGCCCTGCTGCTGCTGCAAACGTGCCGAAAAAGGTGGATACTCCTGTTTATCCATGGCTCGAAACTGGAAACGACGCTGGAGATCGATCGTCGGCTTTATCATTTCTTGAGGTTTCTAGCACTCCTTCTCGGTCTTCAGTTGTTGAACATGTCGCGACACCTTCACCAAGGATTGTGAGCTCAGTGAATCGACTTGTGAGATCATCTGCAACTCTACGATCAAGTGCTGCAAGCCAAGAGAATCAATCGGGACCCCCAACTTGTCTATCGATCGGGAACCAGACCAATTTTATTGACGCCTTGGCCATCCTATCGACAGAGCGCACCACCGTTGAACAGCATGCCACCACAGACGGTTAGAAGCTCATCAATACCCCCGAGATTATCCTCAAATGCAACGCCGCGACGAATTTCCCTACACTCGATTACATCAGCACAGAAGAGATTGAGACATGCAACGCCACGTCCTAGAACTTCCATCGGTCGGCCGAGTGTGCCAGAGTGGGCGAAAACGAAATTAAAAGCTTGTGGAGTTGCTGGACTGAAGTTAGACATCAATCGACCAAAGTCGTCTTCAGAGGGTTCCATAGAAAGGCAAGCGGTATTCAAAACTCCACCAACAAGAACGGCGTCTGATGAACTTCGCACGTCGGCATCGTCTATGGCTACAACCTCGGCATCTTCAGCGACGTCTTCTCCAATACCTTCGTCTTCACCGACGTCTTCTCCGATATCTTCACTGACGTCTTCACTGTCATCTTCATCGGCATCATCACCGATTATCCTCAGCAGCTTCTATGACAGGAACGACTTCAACCGCAAGCTCTCCACGACAGAATCCTTTTTTCCAAACGACTCAACGACCAAAGGTTGTATTGAGGCCGCCAGCCTCTTCGGTCTCTTCGATCTCTTCAGCGACGAGAACATCAAACTAATTCTTGTGCGACATTTATTTTTTTTCCTTGAGCCCAAATTGGGGTTTCTTTTCGTCGTCTATAGCCTAGGAGTTCCTGACGCTATTCCAAATACTTCGAAAAGAGAAAAATCGGACCAAACGAAAAGAGATTGAACATCGCGCTTAGCTAGATGATAAAGGTGTTTGATGAGCTAAATGAATTGTTGCTGCTGTTGCTTATTATGGCCAGTGTTGCTTTATTCGTCATCTTCTGAATCTTCTAGAGGGTCGTGTCTGTATCTCATAATGCGAAAAAATTCTTCAAAATCAACCACTCCATCTCCATCACGATCTGCTTCATCTATCATTTCTTGCAACTCATCGTCTGTTAAATTTTCTCCCACTTCTGAAGAGATTTTCTTTAAGTTACGGAAACTTATTTTCCCGTTGCCATCTTCATCGAACAGACGAAATAATTTTAGAATTTCTTCTTTGGATGTTTTGTCTGGCATTCGCCCAACCATCATTTGACAGAATTCTTCAAAAGTGATCGTCTCATTGAATTCCTTCCCGGCCTCTGACATTATACTGATGATGTGTTCCCTTTTAACATCGAAACCTAGTGCGCGCAAAGCCGCCTTGAATTCTCGTGCATCTATGCTATTTTTTTTATTAATATCAAACAATACAAACACCTCGCGTAATTCTTCAATTTGCTCCGCTGACAACTCTGGTCTTTTACTCCGAGTTGCGCGGCCTCTTTGTTGGAATCCAGTTGCCAGCATTTTGCTTGAGTGTATCTCCGTACCTGTAGCCGTCTGTGTCTCATATGTCTCAAATAGCAGCAACCTGAATGTCTTTTTTGATACTAGTTGCAACCATAAAAAATGAACGAAAAGGACTACAATCAAGAGACAGTGAAGTTATCTCTCTCCAAAACGACCTGGGTCTCAAAGAAGCTCGGCTTGACTGAGAACCGCTTCATTGTGTAGTCCTCATCGAACTCTGCGTCGTCGAAGTCGGGCAAAGGCTCTTCCTTTCCTCTTTTCAAGTAAAGTAAAGCGCCAGCCACACCTGCTATAGCCAAGAGACCACCTACAGCGCTGGTTACAAGAATGGCCATTGGAGCAGTTGACGCCTCTGTTTCCGTTGCGGTCTCAATGTATACTGATGTTCTTGAGATGGGTGCTTCTGATGGCGTGACTGATGGCGTGACTGATGTCGTAACTGATGTCGTAACTGAGGGTGTACGTGACGGTCCGGGTGCCGGTGTACTTGATCCCTGTTCTTGTTCTTGTTCTTCTTGTTGTTCTTGTTCTTCTTGTTGTTCTTGTTCTTCTTGTTGTTCTTGTTCTTGTTCTTCTTGTTGTTCTTGTTCTTCTTCTTGTTCTTGTTCTTCTTCTTGTTGTTCTTGTTCTTCTTGTTCTTGTTCTTTTTCTTCTTCTTTTTGTTGCTCTTCCTGTTGTTCCTGTTGTTCTTCTTCCTGCACTATTTCCTCAATCTCTTGTCGTTTAGGAGTCGTTGTGGTTGTTGTGGTCGTTGTGGTCGTTGTGGTTGTTGTGGTCGTTGTGGTCGTTGTGGTCGTTGTAGTTGTTGTGGTCGTTGTTGTCGTTGTGGTCGTTGTGGTCGTTGTAGTTGTTGTAGTTGTTGAAGTTGTAGTTCTCAACTCATGTTTTTCACAGATGGATTCAGTAACCGCGGTCGTTAAGAGATCCACCAAATTAGTACCATCCCCACCATTAATCACAACTCCGGCCAATCGTCTTGAGTTTGTCTCCATTGACGTCATCAGCCACTTATAGGTCCCCACATAGTTTCTGTTTAGCGGATCAACTAGAACAGCAAACACTGGGATAACATCTTCTTCCCAAAGCGCATCAGAAAGGTCCCGACTGGTGGGAAAGTCCTGAAATACAATTGCCTTCAATGAACCTCATCTAGATCATTCTGACTACCTCGTGCCTTGAGTCGTATTCTCCATCTCCGTCATTTGGCTTGAATGGCTGTTCAGGACACACTCTATCTGCGTCACCAGAGTATCTAAATTCGGCATCCGTTATCTGCATGGACGCGTTAGCAAATACTTTCAAGTTTCGAACTCACACTTATAACAACTTTGAAATAATTCTCAAGGAATGATAAGTACCACCCAACTCTCCCACTTCGGGCCGCTACAAGCATTCCACCAAGGGAACTACAAACACAAGACTGAATACTGAGACAAGGCAATGAACTCACTCCTCTGCAACAACAGAATCGCCACACGCAGGAATGTATCTCTCTAATGTGCTTGCCATTTCGTTAGGCTGTGATGTTAATCTGAAGAGAAGAGCTGAAAATCAAAAATCTCAGAGATAGAATAAATATCTCACGGGAGTGCGACTTTGACCTGAAAAAATAAAAAATAAAGGGAGATTTCGGAGAGAAAAAGACACTTACTCCATAGTTCAAAACATGACCTTTGTAATCTGGAGGTTTACATCCAGTCCTGCATTTGACATAATTGTTAAAAATTTCCTTTTTTATAAATTTACCATTCATCTGTAAATGTGACCACTCCAAATCGAGAAAAGGGAAAGACTGCCAGAAAGTCCTGCATCATTTTTGTGATGGCTGCTGAAATCTGGGTTGCCCTCGGCTTCATGGACACAGTGTCGTCTAGCGCGAACACTATATCAAGGTTCACATAATCAGGATCCAAGCAATGCAACGTCGGAAGGGCCCTTGAAACATCAGGATTTATAGAAAACAACACAAGCACAGCGACTAGAATTTTCAACATTCAGAACTCTGGCGGACTCAGAACTCCGGCATGAGGTTACATGCAGCCAATTCCTGGAACGGCAAAACGGAGGGCCCTGAACCATTTCTACACTGCGAGGAGTTAGGCTGTGGCTTGCACTATGTTGGTGCTTAAAATTGTGCAGCGAGGCAGCACTGTGCAAGGTGACAACACTGTGGAATGGGACAGCACTGTGCAAGGTAACAGCACTGTGCAAGGTAACAGCACTGTGCAAGGTGACAGCACTGTGCAAGGTAACAGCACTGTGCAAGGTGACAGCACTGTGCAAGGTAACAGCACTGTGCAAGGGTAACAGCACTGTGCAAGGTAACAGCACTGTGCAAGGTAACAGCACTGTGCAAGGTGACAGCACTGTGCAAGGTAACAGCACTGTGCAAGATAACAGCACTGTGCAAGGTGACAGCACTGTGCAAGGTGACAGCACTGTGCAAGGTGACAGCACTGTGCAAGGTGACAACACTGTGCAAGGTGACAGCACTGTGCAAGGTGACAACACTGTGCAAGGGGGCAGTACTGTGCAATCTACAGGTGCAACCGAACCTGTCGGCAGACGCTCGATCGAACAGGAACCGTGAACCCTGTTATTTCTTTATATCTATCGCCCAATATTTTTACTTACACATGGAAAAAATCTTGGAGTACTTAACCTTGGACTCCACCCCATCGGGGCAAACAACTGATGAAAAACGGACTACCTCTTCTAACGCGGCTTTCCTTCCCAATTCTGAAACAAGTGAGGCGAAATTAAATGAGACCAAATTATCTGGCGCACCCTGTTTAGAGAATGATATCGAATCTGAAGCCGGCCAGATGAAAGAGGGATTGAAAGATTCTCCCGAGAAGGGAATGGGTGTGACCCCTTCACCACCAGCCCTTCCAAAGCAGCAGGGCCGCGGCCTCGGCCGTCTTGGCGTTCAAAACCTTCGAGCAGGCAGAAGGGACCGCAAGCTTCAAGCGATGAAGGCTGCTGCTGACTGCAATACTGCTGACGGATCTGTTGCTCTAGAAAAAGGCACATCAGGAAATAATGTGGACGCAAAATCAGTTGAAGTAGGAGTTGCGGGCATCAGGACAGAAGAAAAGGTGCCGATTGAAGGAATTACTTGCGACGCTGACGATAAGTCTGAAGCTCCAATCACTGAAAAAGGGCTCTCCCGCGAACCTGATTGGGACCCTTCCACAAATGCTGAACAAACATCAGAGCTTTCCGGAAGTGCAACGGAACAAAGTGCGGAGCTTTCCAGAAATGCGACGGAACAAGAGGAGCTTTCCAGAAATACAACGAAACAACATGCGGGGCTTTCCAGGAATGCGACGGAACAAAGTGGGAAGCCTTCCAGAAATACAACAGAAGAAAGTGCAGAGCTTTCCAGAAATGCGAAGGAAGAAAGTGCGAAGCATTCCAGAAATGCGACGGAACAAAGTGCAGAGCTTTTCAGGAATGCGACGGAACAAAGTGCGAAGCTTTCCAGGAATGCAACGAAACAAGCGGAGCTTTCCAGAAATACAACGGAACAAAGTGCAGAGCTTTCCAAGAATGCAACAGAACAAGAGCTTTCCAGGAATGCGACGGAGCAAAGTGGGAAGGAAGAAAGTGTAGAGCTTTCCAGAAATGCGAAGGAAGAAAGTGCGAAGCATTCCAGAAATGCGACGGAACAAAGTGCAGAGCTTTTCAGGAATGCGAGGGAACGAAGTGCGAAGCTTTCCAGAGATGCAACGGAACAAGCGGAGCTTTCCAGAAATACAACGGAACAAAGTGCAGAGCTTTCCAAGAATGCAACAGAACAAGAGCTTTCCAGGAATGCGACGGAGCAAAGTGGGAAGAAAGAAAGTGTAGAGCTTTCCAGAAATGCGAAGGAAGAAAGTGCGAAGGAAGAAAGTGCGAAGCATTCCAGAAATGCGACGGAACAAAGTGCAGAGCTTTTCAGGAATGCGACGGAACAAAGTGCGAAGCTTTCCAGAGATGCAACGGAACAAGCGGAGCTTTCCAGAAATACAACGGAACAAAGTGCAGAGCTTTCCAAGAATGCAACAGAACAAGAGCTTTCCAGGAATGCGACGGAGCAAAGTGGGAAGGAAGAAAGTGTAGAGCTTTCCAGAAATGCGAAGGAAGAAAGTGCGAAGCATTCCAGAAATGCGACGGAACAAAGTGCAGAGCTTTTCAGGAATGCGACGGAACGAAGTGCGAAGCTTTCCAGAGATGCAACGGAACAAGCGGAGCTTTCCAGAAATACAACGGAACAAAGTGCAGAGCTTTCCAAGAATGCAACAGAACAAGAGCTTTCCAGGAATGCGACGGAGCAAAGTGGGAAGAAAGAAAGTGTAGAGCTTTCCAGAAATGCGAAGGAAGAAAGTGCGAAGCATTCCAGAAATGCGACGGAACAAAGTACAGAGCTTTTCAGGAATGCGACGGAACAAAGTGCGAAGCTTTCCAGAGATGCAACGGAACAAGCGGAGCTTTCCAGAAATACAACGGAACAAAGTGCAGAGCTTTCCAAGAATGCAACAGAACAAGAGCTTTCCAGGAATGCGACGGAGCAAAGTGGGAAGAAAGAAAGTGTAGAGCTTTCCAGAAATGCGAAGGAAGAAAGTGCGAAGGAAGAAAGTGCGAAGCATTCCAGAAATGCGACGGAACAAAGTGCAGAGCTTTTCAGGAATGCGACGGAACAAAGTGCGAAGCTTTCCAGAGATGCAACGGAACAAGCGGAGCTTTCCAGAAATACAACGGAACAAAGTGCAGAGCTTTCCAAGAATGCAACAGAACAAGAGCTTTCCAGGAATGCGACGGAGCAAAGTGGGAAGGAAGAAAGTGTAGAGCTTTCCAGAAATGCGAAGGAAGAAAGTGCGAAGCATTCCAGAAATGCGACGGAACAAAGTGCAGAGCTTTTCAGGAATGCGACGGAACGAAGTGCGAAGCTTTCCAGAGATGCAACGGAACAAGCGGAGCTTTCCAGAAATACAACGGAACAAAGTGCAGAGCTT